AGGGCTCCTCCCTGCTGAGGAAGGAAGCGCAAGGCGGGTGCCTACGACAGCACCTAGCCCAGCTGCAGAGCAGCTCTGCATACCTGCGCTTCATCAGCGAGGCTTCTCGGAAAGGAAAGGAAGTAAGGCTGGAGCCCACAATCGTACTGTCAGCATCGCTGGGACACGAGCCACTAAAGGCAGGAGGACAGCAAAGCCTGTCCCAAACGGGAGCCAGAGCGGGGAGAGATCAACCAGTGGGCAGCCAGGCGGAGCGCGTGAGAGAGGAAAGCAGGAGACAAAGGAAGGCACAAAGGAAGGGGAGGTGAGGCAGGACTGTGTCAGGTCCCCCTTCACGCAGCCGCTGGCCCCGTGGGGTCAGACACATGCTCCTGCCCACTTTCCGATTCTTCAGAGAAAGGTTCAAAAAAAAAGGAGCAGTGCTCTGGTGCAGTGGCAGATGATGCAGACGACCAAGGCATTCCTTTCTGTATGTCAGCAAGGTGATCTAGGCGAGCTACGCAGATCTCATTTCATGTCACTTTATCCTCATATCAACCCCTTTTTCTACACTGTCCATGCTAAAAATTATCTTTTTCCCTGGTTATTTGCAGTTCCCCCATCACGCCCTTTATCCCTCTCCACAGCTGTGGCCCTAGCACTGGCCCCTGCTCCCAAAAGTTAAGTTGGGAGCTACTGGGATAGCTTTCCTGTTCATTAAAACAGAAAGGAAATAAAAAACATGCTACAGCTCAGGGTGAATCAGCAAGTGGAATCAGGCAGCAATGAGTAATAGGCAGACCTCCGATTACAATCCCAGCGCGGCGAGACCAGCGGAGAAAACTCAAGGAGGGCAAAGGCACTCAGCAAGTTACAGAGGGATAGAGAAAGACCAAACAGCACAGGAGCAAGCAGCCACAGTCAGGCACGCGAGTGGACAACGGCTAAGATGCAAGACTCCATTGCAATGCCATTTTGCGGTGAGTCAGGAACTAGTGCAGGAAGGGCAGCTGAAGGGGAATCCCAACTCAGACGGACAGGAAGGAAGGTATATCCCGGCAGGCAACTGCCCTGGGCTGACTAATACCCAGCCCTGGCTCTAGGAGTGCAAAGGACTCCTACGTATCATGCGAAAGGCACCTGAGCTCGTTCTCATGAGGAAGGAAACCAGAAGCTCCCTCATGAAAGAAGTGACTGCTCGTGCCCCACTGCTCTGCAGCCTCAGTGCAGCCACCTTGCAAAGCCCCCAATCCCCCAGAGCTGTGCCACACTGGGCACAGGGTGCAATGAGCTGCAGCAGCCCTCATCAGGTCTTGCCTTCCACTTCGGCTCCAGCTGCAGATCTGAGTCATCTCCGCTCTGCCAAACTTCCTCGCGATACCAGGCTGCATCTGCCACCACCAGAACCACAGAGCAGAGCTGCCTGTCTGCCCTCCGTCCTCCGCTGAGGTTTGATGGCCTATCACAGCCGAGGGAGAGACACAGGAGGAGACAGATCTCTGCAGCGCCACACCAAGAAAAGGCAAAGAGTAAAGGGCTGGACCGACTGGCTGCTCCCCGTCGCTCAGTCCTTCCCCTCCCCTCACACATGCTGCAGAGACTTAGAGACTTTCCCTGTCAGCCTGCGTGGGAAGCTCACTTGAGGGGGGGATGCTTTTAGGGCTCTAAAAACCTGGACGGGCAGCCTGCTGCACCAGCAGCCCCTAGGGCATGGCACCAACCAGTCTCTGCTCCCACATGTGGCTGCAGGACGGCCCCCATCAGACCCCGTTCCAGGGTTTCTCCCCAAACTATGGGCCCGTCCCTGCCAAATTCCCAGGCAAGGAAGTGGCCAGGAGAAAGCTCATGCCTCAGCCACCTCTGCCCTTCTCTTGCACAGCAGCATCCCAAGGCTGGGAGAAAGCACGAGGGTGAAGGGGGAAGAGCATGAAAAGCCAGGGAGAGGGAGCAAGCCGTGCAAGGGCAGAGCTAAGGATGGGCAGGAGCCCTGGATACCAAATCTGCTTACTCCAGCCCTGGGACCAGTCCTGCCTTTAAAGAGAAACATGCTACCGTGTTCAGGCACCCGAGCCTCCCCAAGGTGAGTGTGTGAGCGCCTGTTAGGGTCCCCGGGCTCCTGTGTCAGGGCCCGGGCCAAGGGCCAGGTTGGCAAAAGAGCCCCCAGGGTCTCAGGCCACGAGCCTGACTGAAAATGAGAAAATCCTATAAATGCTTTAGGCAAAGAGAGACGGGGCTGATTTGTGCCCTGCCTGGCTGCATTTTCCTTGCTTTCCTGCAGCCTCTACCTGCAGTCACGCATCCCCGGCACCTCTGAGGCCTGGGGGCTCTCACAAAGCAGCAACGAGAGGGACAAAGGCAGAGTTTCAGGACCCTCTGCCAGGGAGGGCCGGCTTCACGAGGCCAAGGGAGGACAGGTCCGCGCTGCGGGATGTCAGCTGGGGTGGGGGGGGGTCAGCGGCTGCCCCGCAC